CCCCAAAACCCCAAAACCCCAAAACCCCACAAGAAAATTATTTCTCATTTATGTTAGAATTAAAATTTAATTAGAAATCGTTTCGAGAATTCAGACGAAATAACTGTTCAGTGATGAAACACTATAACCAATTCTTTCAGCAATAGCCCTTTGCATGTTATAATTCATAAAATAGTAATTACCTAATGCTCTCTTGTTTATCGAATTTTGATTAAGTCTTTTCATTATTTAATCTTGCTCTTGGTAAGGAACTATAGGGATAATATGAGAGAAAATAGGTGGAAGACTTCCTCTAGAAGGTAATGTTCGAGATGTCATTTGCATCATAGACTCTAATCCCAAATGTTCTTGTTCTGATAAAGATGAAACCTTCAAAATGCCTCCTCTTTTTGGCAAAACCAAGAAACTCCTCTTTATTTCAGAAGTATATGTTGGAAGAGGTATCATTTTATTAATCTTATCTTGAATATTCAACTAAGCTACACATTCTAAGAGTTTTTCCTCCCTAATCTAAAATAGCCTAAGATATCCTTCATCACTTGCTGTTATTAATGTTAATAGCTATTTTTCAACTTCATTAAGTCTTCTAAGATTAAGTGGGTCATGAGGACCTTGTATTCTTAAAGAATAAACTCCAATCACTTTAGTTTCTAGGGTATTGCCAAACATATATTTGAGCTGAATTACTTAACTTAATGCTTCAACCTTATCTCTTTTCAGATATTCTTCATCTCTCAACCATAAAACACCTAAGTTTCTTTAGCTATCACCAACAAATATATGATCTCCATCAAAGGATATATGCAGTCCTAGGGTCTCAATACTTTAAGGTTGAAATTTAGGCTCAAATTTAGCTACCTGATCATAGAATTAGTAAAATACTATTGAATGATCTCTTAGTCTTTATGTTTTCTAAACAGTCATCAGCTTCCCATAATAATCACCTAAGCAGGTTATAATTCCCTGGCATTATTCAAGCCTTGATAATTTGAGTCTCCTCTCTTAGTGCTCTATCTCATATAAATAGAGAAATGAGTTATAGAATCCTTCCTCTATCATTGCAGCATCTATCTTGATAGTTGATAGGGCAATGAAATTTTTTATTGCAGGAGAATCTCCTAATTGTAACTTTACTTCTTCCATACATACTATCATCTCATCTGTTTTAAACTATTATTTTAAGATCATATTGACCATTTCAAAGTTGCTCTAGTAGCTTCTCCATTTTCCATGCTTTGGCATTGGTATCACTTCCATCTCATATTATACACCTTATGCTTTTTATTCATCAGATAATGAAGCACTAAGTGAACTGCCTGGAGCTTCTGAGGCGTATTCTCCCTTAACCACTTAAAATGATGAGACCAGCAAATACTCAATTTTAGTTCTTGAGTCTGTATATTTCGTTAGCTTTCTTATACATTTATTGAAGGTTACTTGCCTAATGACAAAATTATCAAGAACAGGAGCAATTTTAGGATTAAACATATTTGGAATCTTTAGGATATTCAAAGTTTCATTTGATTTATCTACATACAAATAACATGAATCCTTTGTAAATCCTTGCTAGCAATACTAAGCTAACGAGTAAATAGATTCATTATCTTGAATCTGTAAAAACTTATGGAAATAGAATTTATTTTTCTTGCAAGTAATCATTATTGGTTTCTAATGTTCCTTATCATGTATAATAATCAAATTATTATCCACATAAATGTCATTAGCAAGAGCATGCTTTTATCTTTGAAATGTTTATTATCCCCAATCTTTTAAATCTTTTCTCAAATTTTGTGCCTCAATCAACTTAAATCTAAATTTCTCCTTTTTAATGTCAGGGAAGTTCATCAAGTTCTCATAAGCAATAATCATACCATTACTTAATGTCATAACCAAGATTATTCTTGATTCAATTTATTTCAGAACTACTTCTGTCACATATTTATATTCCTTGTGAATCTCAGAAATATGATAATCGCCTTCAATGTTGATTGAAAGATCTGTCACAGACCTAGAAATCAAATCCAAATGCCTTTAGTTCTCTAATAAATTTGGTAAAAACGGAAGTTGTTCAGTGACTCCTCTAACTTGATAAATCAGCTTTAGCTCATTACTAAGATCATCTATCAGGTAAATTCTCATTTAGGCTTTTTCCTAGAAAGTGAGTATTAGATAATCATCTAGGTTTTTAATTGTAGTGGTAGACAAAGCCGTGATTGTAAGATTTTGATTATCCAACTTTACACAGCATTTTTGGAACTTTAACGATAGACCTATAGTGCTATAGCATCTCAAACTTCCATTTGAAAGCAAAATGAAAATACAATCACTACATTCTAAATGCTCTTTTGAGGATGAGACTATAGAGACATTTGATTAATGCTCCATTGATATATCTAGAGACCTTATTAATTTTGCATCATGTGTTAACAGGATAAGTTTTGAAGGGGTTACTTGAACTATCCGTTAAGGCGATTAGACTCCTACACTAAAGCATTAAATGGTAGGCTCGGCTAGTTCATAGTTTGATTAAGATGGGTCTAATATCTTGAGTTCATTTGCAACTAATGCAAGTACATAAGTAGAATTCAATTGACTTGCCACAACGAAAGAATCATAGGAGTTCGCTTGCTTTTTATCTCTTATTGTAAATACCCTCTGGATATTGGATATTTCCTTTGAGAGCACCCTCGAATCAAATGGTATACCTTCTTTGATAAAATTTATGCTTGATCTAAGAGTATAACCTGAGGTGCAAATAAAATCAAGTTAGTCTGACTTATTCACATCTTCATTTACCATTACATCTGCAATAGGAGATAATGTCATCAAATTATCTACTAAACTCATTTCGTATGTCATCAGCTATTTTTGCTTGATATAACTTAATGAGTCCTCATTAGCCTTGACTCTCTGAGTCTATTCATCAACTTAAAGTTTCTCTTTCAAAATATAGTAAGCTTAGTCATTATAATATGATGAAACAAGAACGATAATCTAGTCTTATTTTTCAAATGTTTTTATCTACAATAAAGGTTATTAAAACTACTTAACTTACAGATGAAGGAATAATTGGTAAATCGCATTAAACTTTAGTAAAGAGGACATCATCTACATCAATTTCAGCTTAGTCAAATATCAAATGCATAATATAAACTGCTCCTTTCTCTGTCATTATTAGCAATCTTCTACCAGTCAAGCCTTTAAATCTAGTGCATCCATCAAATTTTAATTCAATTTTCTTGGCATCAATTACATGCTTGACTGATGTCAAACTCTCTGATGGCACCATTGTTTTTTCAGTTGGTGGGTTGTTTAGGCCCTCTAAATAAGTCGCCATTCCAGTAGTTTAGATATAGCTAAATCTTTATTTCTCCTGTCTTATGATATATAGGCCACAGTTGCTAGTAATATAGCAAAAGTCATCTTTTGGAGAAGCTTTGATTATGTTTCTTGCATAGTATGAGATGAAATCTACTGTGTATAAATGAACTAAATCTGAATTATCTTTATCCTCTTGAGCAAACTCAAATATACTTAGTTTAGTTATTGGTTACTTAGTAATAGTTCCCACAGTCTTTTCAAAATTAGATTGATGAAGTACATATAAATAGCAGTTATTCTGATTCCCCATAGGAATAATTTCAATATCAATAATTGCTTGAATTTTTTGAGATTGCCAGAGGTTATAAAATCTAGCTGGCTTATAATAAAGTTCAATGTCTTGTCCCCATGCATTTAAATACTTCTCATTGATTTTCTTAAGACCTCTGATTTGATCGGGTACATTGGAACTTAGTAAATTGCTATGGCCTGAACTAGATTTGATTTTGAAATTTTCCGATACTACAGCCTATCTCATTTCAACATAGACAAAGGTATGATCATCAGACAAGTACCCAAACAATGAGAAGAACTTAGAATGAATTGATCTAAGTTTTCCTCTGATAGGAAATTGCTTTCCTGAGTCTTTGAGAGCATTCTCGTTTTCAAAGTTGTGCATTGCTATTACTTTGAATTCATGAATTTCCTCATCAAATTCTAATGTGATTAACTAAAAATATTTAGTGTTTCATTATAAAGGTAAGTATAATTACTTTATCATGCTATATGTAGAGCACTACAGCATATTTGTTCTTCCAAGTCATTCTTACTCCAGTAATTTCACTGCATATAGCATTGGGGATTTGGTATTTTCCCATATATGAGTACTTATCATTAGATATATCATAAATCTCCAAAGTATTATTAGCTCTGAGAAAGATTGCTTCTTTCTGATTCACATTGCCTATAGCTTTAAAGCATTTTAAAATATTACATGAGGTAAAGTTTCCAATAAGAACTTGTGAAGAAGAAGTGCAATCTTGAAGAATATCTTTATTCTCAATACATAAGTATTATTGCTGTCCTACTTCTAAATTTAGTGCGCTATCTGAAAAATCCATTTCAATTACAATTACAATAGATATAAATTATATAAAAGCATGATGGGATTCAATTACTCAGATTAAATTAATCTATAAAAGTTGCGGGGTTTTGGGGTTTTGGGGTTTTGGGGTTTTGGGG